TTACTCTTAAGAAGTACTATCGCCTATCAGGTTTGTCAATCTTACTCCCTCTTAATTTTATTTTTGGGGGTCTGAACAGAATAAAATTTTAAGGGTTACTTTATTATCTGAGAACAGGTAGTGGAATTGCAAGCAAGTGGAATTGCTTGAAATGACAGTCTTTTAAGCACAGATAATTCTGATGGCTTCCAAAGATACCAGGACCTGTTAGGCTGCCATAGTAGTAGATGCTTGAAAAACATGAATAAATACTCTATGGGCTTCTCTTACCAACGTTTTATAAAATCCTCTGTACTAATTATTATATCTTTATTCAATGCATATTTGGGTAATGTGGGTGTAAGTGTAGGTGAGCTGCTCTGTAGCAGTGCTGCAATTCTAAGGGAACTTCTGTTCCAGATAAAGCCTGGGAGATGCTTGAAAGTGCTCATAGTGTGACAGCATTTCTTGTTCAGGTTTTAGAAGTACTGTTAAGACAAGAGGTTATATGTTCTCACACTGACAGACTACTTAGAAGAAATCTCACAGGACTGTTGAAATTGTTGCTTTAGGAATCCTAGAGGATGTTGGATGCTTGATTTTGTTAGAATCAAGGCATTAGTTCAGTCTCTGAGATTCTTTGAAGTTTTGTTTTTTTTCATTCAGTTGTGTTCAGTAGCTTTGAATGAAATTCATCAATGAGCATTTATAGAAGACCTGTTTCTGTAAAAGAGCTGTCCTGTACCAACAGATCCAGACACAGCCTGACATACTGTTTCTTCTAATTTGGTCTATGTCATTAGATTTCTGTATAATCTTGCAAGTTTCATATTCAGTATGTTTTAACCTTGTTTTAAAGGAAAAATTCAGCATTTGAAGAACAGGTACATGACAGGGTCAGAGGTGAAAAGGTGAGTCAGCAAGTCAGTCTTGTAGCACAACACAGCCAGGACATTGCTTCAGAAACATGTGTTTATTGGAATCAAAGGAAAGAGGTTATATAAGCCAGATTGGCAGAATGCTTGACACAACAACTGGCAAAAATTATGTTAAAAAAAAAGTATGTTGGCAAAAATGATGCTGTAGTGTTTATTTGGGACTTCTGAGCAGGTGGTCAGGCTGGATGACGTCCTGAGGTCCTTTAGGAGCCAGATTGTGTGACTGTGTGCACATACAGATGTGTATAAACACACACAGTGATGGTGCAAGGTTGAATAAGAGAGGAGGAGAGATTTCCTGCAGGCCCCAGGCTGTGTGCTGAGCTGGGCTGCTGGAATGGTGCCCTTGGAAGGGGTGCAGGGAGGGCTTGTGGTGTCACGCTCGTGCTGCTGCTTTAGTCCCAGCGGCACGGGGATGTGCCTGTGCTTGTCAGACTTGCTGCTGCTTTTGTCTGGGCTTAGGGAGGGGAAAGAGCAAGGCATTCCCTGCCTGATTTGTCCACTTGTAGGTATTATCTTTGGAGAGGTGATGATGGAGTCCATGTAGTGTCTATTGTGTTGTTACCATCTGCTGCCCAACAGACATGGCTTCCCATGGAAACCAGTATATATTTTAAAAAAAGAATACTGGTTATTCATGCAGGCATGTTTCAAAGCTTTTTTCCATTTCAGTGATAAATCTGTGAAAAAACAAGGAGTAGCAATGGGTGATTTTGCTCAGTAGCGTAAATAGTGTTAAAAATCGTAATTTCTACCATATTAGAAGTTTAGCTGGCAGCTGTGTTGCAGAAATTTACTGCTATTTATTGTATGTGTACACCCATATACACTTCTATTTATATAAAATATATCTCCATCCTTTTCTATACATTTGTTTACAGAGCAGTCTTTTAAAGTTCTGTTTTGTTTTCGTTAGTTACAGGAAAACATTCCTGTAGGAACAGTAGGCTTAAAGACAAGGAAATTAAGAATGGTAAAAGCAAATCTGTTTCAAAATGCAGTCTTTGTTCTCAGGCCATGTTTTAAGTTGTGTAGTGTTACAAGTTTGAAGTCTTTCCAAAGGACATTATCTCAATATTAGCTGTAGCTGGTCGGAAATATTTGTCCTTATCCTGGAGTGTCCTACAGTCCCTTGTCAGCCTCGGTGAGTAACAGAAGCTGTAAAGCTGACTTTGCTTGCTGTGAGAGGATTTTCTGAGAATAGAAAGATGTGACTGTTTCCTCAAGTAGTCCTGCACAGTTTGTTCTCCTCTGATGCCCCTCTGTTCCACCTCCTCCTCCCAGGGATTTGTACATGGAGTTCTGCAGCGCTGGGAAGTCCAGCCATGACTGATCTCCCTGTACTCCAGCACTCACACATAATGGCATCAGGAGTTGCTGGAAGATAAAATAGCCTTTAAAGCTCTGATTCACCTGAAGTAGCTTGGGGGAGGGAATTTGTAGGCCTGGTTTGTTCTGTTGATGGTGGTTAAGTAGGTGTATAGGATGGAGTGATGTGCTTTTCTACTGAGGAGCCCAGAGGAGTTTTCTGCTTAAGGTTTCTCCCCCAGCAAAATCCAAGTGTTGCCCTTTGAGGTGGTCAGACATTTATGAAGGGCTGGATTAGCTGAGCATGTCTGTTATTAAATTGCTTTTCTTTTATCTGACTGGAAGTGCTTAGCAGGTTTAATTTCAAATTAGTATGAATGACTCCTGAAATCCCAGATTCCAAGTATGTCTTAAATTGAAGCTAGGTCTTGTGAAGATGAGTATTTAAGCATCAATAAAAAGTTTTTCCAGTCATCTCTCTTGTTTCTTGGAAGTGTGTGTCTTTGTTTATTGTAAATTGAGAGCTATCAGTTGATTATTCCATGTTGTAACTAATGCAGTTGAGAAATTATTCCTGTCTAGAGGACAGTTTGGCATCTTACCTGGCAGCAGGGAAAGGCTGGGTGGCAGTTGCTGCTGCTTTTGCCAGGCCTGTCCCTACAATCATTTTTTAGAGCACACCTGAAAATAGATTTTAAATGCAGATATTTTTAAAATTTTTTTTTTTACTCTTAGCGATGAAATGATGGCAGGACTGGTGCAGCAGTGCACAGCAATGTGTCTGTCTTTGGACAGTCTCAAGATTTACTTCTCTTCTGTCACCATTTTAACTAAAAGCTTTATGAGCACCTGAAGGCTTCAGTCATTTTCTTTCCCAGTATAGCAGAATTAGTTCCTCCAGGTTTCAGACCAAATAGGTTCTTCTTTTTTTTTTTTTATTTGCTTTGATTGTGTATTTGTTCATCTTTTAGGTCTTTCACTGTCTCTATCAACAGAAGAAAATACAATTTTTTTGTTTAACTATTTCTAAGAATTGTTTTTAATGGGGTAGAATAGCAATGAGCTCATTATAGACAAAAGGGAAATTCCTCATTCCACAGTTGTAATGTGCTGCTCAGGAGCAGAAGTGTGTCTTGTCTTTTTGCAAAATCTTACCTCCCCAGATCAGTATGAATCTGCTGTCCTAATTCATGTTCCCTCCTCTTGTGATAACAGAAATAACAGCTTGGTATATATGAGCAGTGAACTGATTCAGCTGAAAATAAACCTGGAAAATCAAATGGTTAACTCTTAGCTAAATCTGTTTCCAGATCCATTTCACCATATTGTGGAATATATTCTGGTTCTGGTCAAAGGGAAGAAGCAGCAGTAAGGGCTCAGATGTAAGAAAATGGCACTGTCCATTTTGGACTAGCTTAAAGTATTGATGCATTTTTTTCCCCAGTAAAATTTTTCTCAGGAATTTGCAAGAACACCAATGTAAAGTTATTTTCTGGAGTTTCATGTTGATACTTGAGTATTTGGTTTAGGTTAAATATCTGCTTTTGCCAAACCTGCCACTTCTTTGGTGGTTCTGACTTTTGGAATGTGAGAGAGGTGCAGCAGAGCAAAGCATTTCTTCCATACTTTCAACATTTCTTACTGAATTAGAGGGCTTTTTTCAGGCAGGGATGTTTCTTTATTCAACACTGATTTGTGCAGTCAGTTGCCCAGTTCTGATAGCAGTAAGGTGTTTAATTCTGTTGTTCTGCAAAGCATGGGCTGTTCTGTTCTTTTGGTGTGTCTGTCTGACCTCTTCAAAACATTTCTCTGTAAACTTTTGTACTCTGATCTCAAGTTCTGTGTTGTTAAACTGTGAGTGTGTCATTAATGTCCTTCAAAAGCCAGTGCTCTGATGTTGGGATATACAAAGTTCTCTAAGCTGCATGGCGTGCTTTATCTTGAAGGGAAAATGAGAATTTGCTTCCTTTTTGTTGCCCTCCCAACTACTTATCTACTAAGAAATTAACTTACTTGTCTAGTAAAAAATCTACAGGACTACTAAGAGATTTAAAATATTTTTATAATAACCAGTGTGGTGATTTTAAGAGTAGTTATTCAGCAGAGATTCCAAACCAGCAGTGTCCTCAGCAGTGCCCTGCTCCCCTCTCTAAGGCACATGTGGTGATACCTGACAGTTCTGAGCAGTGCCACAGGTCCAGCACTCCATGACAGCTTCTCATTCCTTGCTGAGCTCCTCTGTCCTTTTGGCTCATCTTTCTGTCAGCCCTTTTAACTGCCCCAAAGACACCTGGTCTCACCTGATCTCAGACTCTGGCAGTTGTGCCATCCTCTCCTGGGCACCCCTCACTGTGTTCCATGACAGGGAGCTGTGCCTGCCCCAGGCTCCTGGCCAGGTGGGAAGCCCATGATGGTGGTGGTGGTCCTGTGCCAGAAATTGCATTCCCCAGCCTTCTGAATTCCTGCACAGACAGGATTAATGTTAAGAACAGCTCTGTTCTTTAAAGGGTGGTTATGTGAGGAAGTGAAATGAGGTTTGTACCTGACTCCCTCCCTGGTAAGGCTCACTTACCTTTGACAGAATTGCATAATGTATGTTCTGTAACTAATAGCTGAATTGGGAGTTAGTGTGTAGGAAATAAATTAACCTGATGCAACCCTTGTGGTGATGATGAATCTGGATGGTGTGCTTCTTGGGGAGTAATGAGGGCTAATAACTTGGAAGTAAATTAAGCAACTCATGTGTCTTTTTTCCCTTTTTTTTCCTATTTCTAGAACCACAGAGCAGACCCAGAAGAACTCTTCACAAAATTGGAACGCATTGGGAAGGGCTCCTTTGGTGAGGTCTTCAAAGGAATTGATAACCGGACACAGCAAGTGGTTGCCATAAAAATCATAGACCTTGAGGAAGCAGAAGATGAAATAGAAGATATACAGCAAGAGATAACTGTTTTAAGTCAGTGTGATAGTCCTTATGTAACAAAATACTATGGATCATATTTAAAGGTAATGTATAATATTGCACAGAAAATGCTGCTATGAAAATCATCTAAAATTAAGGAAGACTTATCATGCCAACTTGGCATTTTTAGTAGGTTTTTATTTTTCTTTGAACTGAGTTTTTCACTTCATTTTTCTCTTTTTGCTGTTTTTTTGCTGTCTTCAGGCCTGGGATTTGCACAAAATGGCTAAAGAATGAACAGAGTTGATAAAGGATTCTTTTTGCCATTGCTTTTGGGCCTTGGTTTTCTCTCCTCCCTCCACAATCCCTAGCACAGTTTTGTGGCCTTTCTGAGCAAAAGAAATACACCTTCATAGTTACAGAAGCAAAAGCTGTTCCTGTGTGGAAAGAAACCCTGCATCATGTAAAATGTGTTGGCAGTCATGCAGCTTAGCAGGCCTGAGACAAAGTAACACTGACATCAGCAGTTATGTAACCACTGTGTGAAATATTATCTAAGGCATAATTTAACAAACAAGCAAAATAAAACCTACAGAAAACCAAAATGTTGAGTAAAACTTTTCACCTTAAGTACTGCTTAAATGTTTTGCACTGCTGACATATTTTAAGTGATTTTGTAAAAAATCCCTGAAAACATTTAATGAAAGCTAAAGTTGTAGTGATAGTTCAAAGTATATTAAGTATCTGGGAGGGGTTATTTGCTTGTGTTTGTTTTTTTGTTGGTTTTGGTTTGTTTGCTTCACTTTGGGAGGTTTTTCTGGTTCTGTTTTTTGGTGCTTGGTCTCCCTCTCAGCATTTCTGCTTTCTTAAGGTGTAGTGGGGTTTTGTACATTTTAGAGGCAGATTTCTGATAAGCATTCTCTGTCTCACACTTGTATTTGAAGAATTTTAGTAATATTCTTTGTAGATTTTGCCTTTTTCCATTTAAATTGCAAAAGTATTCAATCTTTTATATTTTAATACTAAATGGGCAAGTTATTTTTCCAATATTTCCAGTATATTTAGTATACTCCAAATACTTACTTTTCATTTTGGCTAATGGAAGACAGCTGTAGTGGCTTTGCTGTTTACTGTGAGTTGTTCACACCTGAGTAAACATACAAATTGCCATTGATAACCCATTTTTGCTTCTATTTATTGGGCTCAATTGGTGGGATTTTTGTCGTGTTTGTGAATAGGTAATAAATGTCTGAGAAGTGAGATTTACTTTCTACCATCACAGCATATTAGAACAAGCAGGTTCATCTCAAGATAACTTTGAGTTCGTCTAGTAAGGTTCCCCTGGAGCAGTGTACAAATGGTGCTGCAGATCCAGACATGATCAGTCTTTTTTACAGTCCTTTATTTTCTGTGATGAGCTAAGTCCTAAATTCTATTCTCCTGCATATCCATCATTTCAGCTTTGTGCTGTAAAAGCCCAGTTGTTTGCCCTGAAGTACAAAACAGGTCAAAGTAAGTCATGGAAAGTGTTCTTACTTGTCAGTGGTTTTGCTTGGAAAAGTGTTTTGTGAAATCTCAGAACTGAACAGTGATTTCAGCAGCTATGAATGGAGGAATTAAACTTTGATTGGGTGGGGATTTATTTTGTTTGTTCTTTGTTTTCTCAGAGGTGGGGGGTGGAAAAAGCTTTATAAGTTATGGATTGGATAGGGAAAGAAAATAGTCTTATCATTATTTTCAGCAATATAGGTATGGAAAGTAAAGTCTAGCTATTCTGTCAGTGCTATTCAGCTATTAAATTCTGCTTAGGTTTTTTTTTTTTATTTAAAAAAATTCTTGGCAAATGTAGGATCATGTTAATGCAGCAGTACTCTCCTAACCACTCTGTGAGTTCTTTCCATTTCTGTTCTAAATGGATACATTCTGAAAGATTAATGCTGATCTCTTGTTTACTTTTCACACTTGGAAAGTTTTGGGGGAAGGAAAATTTCTATGCATGGAGTTTGGGGAGGTGTTTGTGGACTTTGGTTACTTTCTCATTCCTTTAAGAAATTCCTCTTGGAAAAAAAACCCAACAAAACAACAACAAAAAAAGTAAAAAATTGTTCACAGGAATGTTTTGCATCCCAGAGTAGCATGAGAGGTAGTTCTGCTGCTTGCTATTCCCCACATAAAGTGAATAAAACATCCACAAATAAATTAATACCTGTAATTCTGTAATTAAAAATAAATAAAGCAACTTTTTAAGTAGTATCTTCTATCTAAATTGTTCTTAGACTAGGTTGCTGGTTCAAGATCTTTCAGCTTGAGATTCCTGAGGGGAAAGAGGGTATTGGCTTTGTTCAGTGTGCAAAGAATCTTTTATTCTGCCTTTTCATTTTAGTAATAGCAGCTTTTTGAGAGTATCTCTTTAAAACAATGAAATGGGTACAGTTGTTGTATACAAAGACTGTATAATTAAAGGTTAAAGGATACTGAGGTTAAATTCTGAAAAATAAGATGTCTTATTTCTTACAAAGCCGGGTCCTAGACTGCAGAGATCAGATGCAGTTTGAGTGGATATAAGTAGTGTGAAATTCACATTCATAATGGTCCCATATGTTTATTCCTGGATACTTCAATTTATATATAAAGATCACTGAAAAATTCCTAGAAATAATTTTTTAAGATAATGGTTAAAAAGAGCATAAAGTAAATAGAAGATATTTCAAAATTGAAGATAGGTTATTTTTTCTTTTGCATCTTTATTTACAGGCCAACAAAATGGTTGACCCAGTGTGCTGTGTTTCAGATCATGCTTTATGAACTAGAAATAGTTTACTAAAGTGTTCTAGTAAACTAGAAATAGTTTACTAAATCATACATGTAGCTCTCTCTGAAGCTGTAGAAATGCCATTAGAAGTGTTTGTAGTTTTACACTGTTCAAAGAGCCTTAGTATTTTCCTGACTAAATACCAAGGCAAACCCTCAGTGCAAAAGCATTCAGGTTGCCTACAGCACTTGCTGATGTTTCTCTAGTTCAGTAATGTAGATCTGTCTTAAATCTTTAAATTTTATAGTTTCTACTTTGAAGAAATCACCCCTGAGATCATGTGTTGGATTCAGTTTTATCATGTAAGCCACAGTTCATCCAGCTGAACTGTAATGGAACATCTTCTGTTGTAACTTACTCTTTTTTAACCAATTCTAACTAAACTTCGAGTAAGCAGATTGTTCTTGTCATCATTTTGTAATTTTTGAGTTTTCCCTCCAGCAAGATAGTTGATAACTAAAAGTTGTTACAACTAAAGCATGGAAGAAGAGATGTAATTGTGAGGGGGTTCTAATTGCAAGCATTTCAGATTAGAGGTTTTTTTTTTTGTTCCAATGATAAGGTCTGTTCTACATATTCTGTATCTTGACAGTTTCTTTGCACTTCAGGATGCAGAGGCAACCCAGTCCCAGGGAGCCTGGGGCTTGCCAGCTGCATGCAGGTTCTCCCAGATGAAAGGCAGAAAGGAAGAGTGTCTTTATTTCAATTACTTGACTTAGAGTGTCTTTATTTCACTTACTTGACTTACTGACTTGTGACATTCTGCAGCCTAGCTGTTCATTAGCTACAGCTTGTATATCCCACCTGTAAATGTGATTTTAAAACTATGGACAGTCCTTTAATAGTTTCCCTAGCAGTGCAGTGTTACTTGTCTGTTATCAGGTATTTTAGTCTTGAAAAACCTTATCATTGGTACAAGATGGCAAGGTCAGCTTCCTTGAGGTTCTTGTGATGAAGTTGATGTCAGTTATTGTGACACAAAAAGGTACAAAAGCCCCATATCATGGTAGTGTGGGACATCTTGAGGTTCAAATGGGAATTTCCCATTGAATTAACCTTAAAGCTTTTCTAAATTTTCCTAAATTTTCCTTGAGTGTCTGGCAAGATCAGTAGTTTTATAAACATACTGGTAGGTGATGTACAAGCATATATACAGTCAGAGAATGCACCTCAATAAACACATTTGTGTACAATACTAAAATGTTTTACCTTTATATCATGGCTTCACTAATGTGGGTAGAATCATATGAGCTTCAGCTGTATTGCAGCTTTTGTGGTTGTAAGATAATGTAAGTCCTGATGGAGGTATTTGTAGCTATTTCATATTTGTAGAAGGTCAGGATCTAAATTTGTCTCCTCATCCCCTATTGCACTTGGATTGCAATTAACATCTCCATTAATAAACCATTGGGTGTGGAGGGTCCCCTTGATAAGTTAGGTTAGATAGCTGAAATGAGTGTTTTCCTCCAGCTTAATGGCTTGTCAAAATGCATTACTCCCCTACCAGTTCAGGCAAGAAAAAGATTAAAAGTATTAAAAGTTACCATAGTTCTGGCATGTTCTGGTTGCACAAATTTGGAAAATGCACTTGATGAAGTGCTTCAGCTGGACTTTCCAGCAGTACCATAGAGATAAATCTCTTGATGACTGGAATTCCATGACTCTTTTCCTTATTTGTGCCATTTAGACCAAGGTTTTCAGTCTCTAGCTTTGTAACTATTACAGCCACCTGAGCTTGCTCTTTTCTTTTGCAATTGAAACAACCCTGAAGTTATTCTCCATTTTTCAGATTTAAATATGGAGAAATCCTACAGTGACATCCAGAGACTTCCATCAGAATTGTGCAGCACTTTGTGCAGCAAAGCTTTGAGACAATCTAAAGATTCTGGTTGTTCTGCCCTGTCTGTTTATACTTGGCTGACAGAAAATAGCCAGGAAAAGGTTGTTCATGCCTGGCTAGAAAATGCCCACACCCGAGTGCAGTGGATAGCAGCAATTTCTCTGAGACATTGTTTGAGAAACAGAACTTACTCATTTTCACCCTGTACTGTTTTCAAGTAATGGTCAAATTCTCCAAACATGTCTGGTAACCACAATGTTTGCCTTGAACAGGAGTTCCTTGCAGGTCTTCTGAGCTGACAAAGTTGGGCTTTATAAAAACTGCTAAAATTAGCCAGCCCTTCCCTGCTGAGATCATAATATTGGAATAGACTCTCATAAATGGTGTGGTTTTTAAATTTAGTATAAATCTAATAGAGCACACTTTGTTAGGATGATTGGATGTGGTGCTTTCAGAAACTGCACCTTTATTTGCTTGCTGAGTTTCCTTTAGATTTCCATCCCTGGGCAGGCCATAGGGTGGGAAAGTATACAATGGAGAATGCAAGAGGCTTTAAAGAGTGCTCCTGCCCTAAGCTTGTGCTCTGTAATGAGAAACTAGCACTGGTAAATATTTGCTGGAAACTTACACAGTGTGTGTGGTACTTCACCAGCTATGGTTCAGTTGAATATTTTAATAGCTGGGTTTTATTTTAAATAAATATATTTATTCACGAAATTTTCTCGACTAGTACCACATAGATTCATATTTGAGTTTTGTTTTTTGAGGGGTCTCTAGCAAGAAGTAGTCTGTAGATTTGCTCAGTGCTTCCAGTTTTGTTTCTATGAACCAGCCACCTTTTGCAGTGACAAGCCAAGGACAAAGTCAGTACCTAGAAATCAGTGTTAGAATAATTTGTCAGTTCTAGAGGATGAGACCTCTCCACGGAGGAAGTGCAGAAACACATATTCTCAAAGTCCTCAGAACAATTATTTGTATTTAATTAAAACTTAAACCACTGCCTAATCACTTTTTTCCCTCTAAGTTCTGTTCCTTTAAGTGAAATAATTTTAGACACTGTTCAGCAGAAGTGATGGTGTTTTTTCATTACTTTTTAAATACAGAAGTCAAACTTATTAATTAATACATTGTCGTGGTTTGACCGGAAATGGGACATCTGGGATATTTTGTTTTGCTGTGATTACCAATGGGTAATTGGAATTTAAGATGGGCACTTAGTTTGACCAGTGGGACATTTGGATCCGCCTCTTGAGACTACGAACTCAAGGGGTTAAAAGCAGGGCTCTTGGCCTTCGGAGCCCTCTTGGGATTTCCGGCGTGAAGAAGTCTCTCCCCCGGCCCAGTTGCTGGCTGGGCTGGGGGAGGGGAGAGCCACGTGGGCCATCTACGGTAGGCCCGGGTTCGGAGGAAGGGTGGCAGACCCTTGAGCGACCAGTTTATTCCCCCCCCCCCCAGAGAATGCAGCCCGTGCTCGAACTGTATATCTTGAAACTTGATATCATGTGCCGGCAGGCAGCACGGCTGGGAGGAGAAAGGGGGGGGGGGGCAGCGGGCAGTCCGGCCGCCTGGGAGACCTTTTAACCCTTTGGGGAATGAAGGCTTCGCAGAACATTGCCTTTCCTGGGAAAGGGACAGGAGTGGAAGATGAAGGAAGAAAATTAGGCCAGTAAGGAGGGTCTGGCAAAGGGAGAAGAGAGATGTTGAAGGAATGGAGGAAGATGGAGTGGCAGTTTTTGCTGGACTCTTTTTTGTTGTATTTCCATGGACTGTTTCCTGGTGAGGCAGAGGCTGTATTGCAGGGGGAAGCGGAGGCTCGGCGTCAAGAGAGTTTGGTTTTGAGACCCCTCGGCCCCAGGGGGTATAGAAGACATGGGGGGGACAGAGGTCCCAGGATTGTGACTGTACTCTGCTTGGAACGAGACGAGGCATTCTTAAAAGGCCCTGAAGGCAGGCCCCTGCCCCATCCCATGCCAGGTGGTGAGAGCACCTCGGCATGGAAAGGAGATGTCACGAGGTAGCAAGATACCGGGCGGATTGCTGATTGTGACAAGAAGTCCGTGGCACAAGGAAGGACTCCGTCTATCCCTTATGAGCTGAAGATTTGATTTTTTTTTTCCAAAGGGTGGTGCCAGACCGAGTGTGGATAATTTTTTGGGAAATGTAAATGTGTTTGGGAATTTGGTGGGAGGAGGATAAGGAAGTGTTTCTGTGTAGTTCTCATTCTCCTTGTTTTTTTCCCTGTGTGTGTGTAGGTTAGTAATTGTGTGTGTAGTTTAGTAATTGTGTGTGTAGTTTAGTTAATAAACTTCTCTTTATGTTTAAGTTGGAGCCTGCTTTGCTTATTTCCTGGCCACATCTCACAGCAGATATCAGGTAAAAGGTATATTTATGGGGGCCTTGGCTTTGCCAGGCCTTAAACCATAACATACATTAGACTTCACAGGAGGTGTGTGATCATTCTACAAGAAGTAATTGCATACAATTAGGTGATTAACAGCTCTCTATTTACCTTTTCCTAAGAGTGTGCTAGTAGTTTGTTGAAATATATATATAATTTTTTTATGGCAGCCTTGGACTTTTGACAACTCATGCCTTCCTTTACAGGGCACAAAACTATGGATAATAATGGAATACTTGGGTGGAGGGTCAGCTTTGGATCTTGTAAGTATATGATTTTTTTTTTTTTTTGCATTATAAATATCAGTGAACTTTATTTCATTGTGGTTTTATATCACTTTATAAAAATAAGTATCTGGAGGCAGCTGATACTACATCACTGCTATGTGGTAATGGTCTAAAAAGTGTGAATTTGAATGGTAGTCCTGTCACATTGAATTGTGTTAATTTTTCTCTATTGCTCTTTGGCTGTAAGCATTAGGAAGCATCCATTTGTTTTCAGTTCTCAGGGTTTTTTTTTTTAGTTTGAGAAGTCCTTTTCTTGCTGTATGTTTGATGGAGGTTTGGGATCCTCTGTCCATCACTTCCCACCTCCTCCAAGTAGAATTCATTACAGTTCAGTAAAAAATGTTTCCTTTAGGTTTGGATCTTGGGAATGAATGAGGAGTGTGTCCACAGACAGTTAATTTGAACTGGTTAAAAGATGTTGGGTTTTCCATGTTCAGGTATTTTCAGTTAAGCATGAAAGTGCCTTTTAGTTCAGATAGTGTGGCATTCATGGAGGGTGTAGGCTGGAGAGTGCACAAGCACAGTCTGCTGAGTGTGTGTGGTTTCCCCCTGGTTTCAGGGCAGCTCTGCCTCAGCTGCAGTGCTACAGACCCACCCTTTCCTGTGAGATTATATAGCTCAGTCTTTGTGTGATTCTGAAGGGAAAATACCATGTCTTCACTATTACAGAATGGTAATAATTATGTTTTCACTAACAGGAGTCCTGTCTGTGAGAGTTGAAGTATGTGCTTGACTTCACAAATCTATTTAAACTTCTTTATCAAATTACATCACATTAACTCATCAAAAGCACAGTAATTAGGTGTAGCTTGTGGTAGTTTGTAGCTCTAGAACTTGGCCCTTTTGAGGAAGGGGCTGTGAGATAATCTCAACTGTTTTGAGTAATTGATTGTGTTCTGTGGAGTGTCAGAAACAGGGAAATAGCTATTACTAGTGCCAATTTAAATTACTGAACCTGTAGAGGAATAGAATTTTAAAAGAATAAAATTTCAGTTTTGCCTCGCTTTGCTTTACCATAATTTCATGGTGTTCACTGTTTTGGTGCTGTGGTGTTGGTATTTTTTTGATTGCTCTCTTTAATTTTTTTTTGTTTTATTTGCATAGCTTTTTAATGTGCAATGTTTACACTTAATACATTAGCAGCTTTATAGTAGTATGTTATGTTCTTGATACAAAACCAAGCATGGAATAAAAAATACTGGGACAAGTGAAAACTGCATCATTAAATTTAAAACCCACAATCAACAGATAAATCTATTTTGAAATGAACTGGTTTTCTTAATTTACTTAATCTAAATTGCAAAATTCAGTTTGCTGCTTGTAGGGAAATACAAATTTGTGGAAAGTTAGTTGTTGCTTTTCTTATGCTTTGCATGCTGAGGGGAGCACAGTGTGTATTTGAGGAGTAAGAGCATTTTCAGTGTATTGGCAGTAGAGATGTGAAGGTGATCATTCCAGTGGCACCTATTTCAATTAGAATACTGACATATTGCATTGAATATTGCATTAATTTGGTTAGTTCTTTAATTTTGAAAAATGTTTCAGGTTTAAGATTTAATTTAATCAAAGCAAGGCAAAAATTAGATACAAGACTAAAATGATTTTAATGTGTCTTTTTTCCAAAGCTGCGTGCTGGCCCATTTGATGAGTTCCAGATTGCTACTATGCTAAAGGAAATCTTGAAAGGTCTTGACTACCTACACTCAGAGAAGAAAATTCACAGGGATATAAAAGGTGTGCAACATTTCAAATGTTACTTTGTTAAAGCCTTTAAAAACCATAAAACAGTATTCTAATTAGTTATTTTGTTATTTCCCCTTGGCAGCTGCCAATGTCTTGTTATCAGAACAAGGTGATGTTAAGCTTGCTGATTTTGGAGTTGCTGGGCAGCTAACAGACACACAAATTAAGAGAAATACCTTTGTTGGAACCCCATTTTGGATGGCCCCTGAAGTTATTCAGCAGTCAGCATACGATTCAAAAGTAAGTAAAACTTTTTTTTTTTTTTTGTATCTGGTTATCCAACAGCATTTGTTTTGATTTTTTTTGCTTTTAGCTCTATCACTATGGGGAGGAAAAAAAGTAAATTTGAAATTACAGGTTTCAAATAATAAAAGTAGGATTGAATTGATTTTATGCAGTAGTTACCTGTGATTGTACTCAGGTACAAAGTCACCAAATAAAATGGTGATGTCATGTCTCTTTCAGAGCAACTCCCTGAATGTGGGGTGGTTGGTTGGTTTGGTTTCAGTTCAATGTTTTGCATTTAATTCAAACAGTAATAAAATACTCCCAAGGTAAAATGCCACCAGAACATGGCAGTTCATTTAAAGGCAAGATGGTGGACTCTCTACTCCAAAAGGCTGGAAAGTAAACTAGAAATTGATACATTTTAGTATTTCCAGAAATTTGTAAGCCCCATCTCTTCTTTAAAATAATTTTGCTCCAATACACAATTGTTGGTTATGGTATTTCAGTAATAAGCAGTGAGTTAGTTTAATTCTTTGCTATAAAGTACAGCTATTTTAGGTCTTGTGAGCAAAAAGGAATATTGGAGAGATGCAAATTGTAATCCTTGTTTACTCTATGGGCAGTTTTGGTTTATGGTTCTGGGCCCAGTGTAGTCATCTACTGCCAAACACTTTTTTAATGAGAAACACCTTTAGTGATCTAAGTAGCTATTGGAGCTCATCTGAAAAGATGCAAGTAATAATATATTTCACTTGGGTAAAGAAATCAAAATCAGAAAAAAATTTAGAATACTAATATTTTATATATTATATCAAAATATCATACTGTGTATTGATACAAAGGCAGAATTTGTTTATAATGATGCTTTTAGCTAAAATAAATAGTACTTAATTATTCTGCTGTGACTTACACTGTGACCTTGGTGTTTCAAGTCTAGCTAGTTGTCAATAATTCTCCAGCTAAATTCATCAAGCAGTCTGTTAGGAAAGAGATTAAGTGATCTCCTGCTGGATTTGATTCAGCTTTCTGCCTTGTTCATTTAGAGTGAGCTGTCAAACAAGGTTGGATACCTAAACAAACTGAATTAGACATAGGAAATTTGTGACAATTTGTCATTAACATATGGAAGATATCAAATCAATATCTCTGAAGCTTTTTCAAAAATGTGTAAATTTAGGTGTCCATTTAACTTGCTGGCAGTGTTAAAACACCAACTGCAACAAAAATGATGATCTGTGATGTTTGTCATTAAACCCTGATTAAGTCAGCCAGGCCTTTGTGTGTCAGGTGTTCCTGAAGTGTTACGAGGGAATGTTTGTATTGTCTACTTAGGCCAACATTAATTTTATAATATAGATGCATTATCTGTGAAGATGTCAGTTATTGAATACTTAGTCCTGACAGCCCATAATTTTGTACTAACAGTCCCTTTTCCCTCTCTCAGGCTGACATTTGGTCGCTGGGCATCACTGCAATTGAACTGGCCAAGGGGGAGCCTCCCAACTCGGATATGCATCCAATGAGAGTTCTGTTCCTCATTCCGAAAAACAATCCTCCCACTTTATTAGGAGACTTCAGTAAACCTTTTAAAGAATTCATTGATGCATGTCTGAATAAGGACCCAACATTTGTGAGTAGATAAATGTGTGTGCATGTGTGTGTAGATGTTTCAGTTTTGTTTTCTGCTCTCCTGTGCTTGTGAAGTATTTTGCTGGCATTGTGCATCTTCAGTGATGGATGAAATAATTTTAGTGACTATACTTTGCACTGTGAATTTTAGTGGTGCTTCTCTGTCTCTATCCTAGTTTGTTTTGTTTAAAATACTCAAAGAGGGAGAATGCTGAAAGAAATTACAGTGGCAGAGGCAGATTCCTAAAATGCACTCTAAAGTAGGATAATGTCAGAAGAGAAGCCTTAACAGAGGAAAGAATAATCTGAAATCCTTTTCTTCAGTGCAACTTTTGCTGTGTGAATTCAGCTTACAAGGAAATGTTGCACTGGAGAGTTTTCATTAGTCATTTTCCTGGGTGTGACCTTCTAACGTGGAAGGATAAGCTCTATAGTCTATGGGTGACTTGATCATATTTTTAGCATGCTCGTAAATGTGAATTACTGGCTTCTCTAACTTCCTGTTTCACTTATTTCCTGATATTATACAAGTTAGCTCTAGAAGTCTGTTGTCTTACTAAGTCTCCCTATTAGCATTTAAAATCATGAAATGTTAGCATGACATTAAATATTTAATGTGTTTCTTACAGCGCCCCACTGCAAAAGAACTTCTGAAGCACAAATTCATTATGAAAAATGCCAAGAAGACTTCCTATCTGACAGAACTGATTGATAGGTTTAAGAGATGGAAAGCAGAGGGACACAGTAGTGATGAAAGTGATTCAGATGGTTCAGATTCGTAAGTTTATTTTGTAGTCTTTTTTGAGTGTGGTTTTTTGGTTTCAATAATGTTCTTAAAGTGGGTTTGCTGCAGCTTTTCTGTGTAATAACACCATTTCTGTACACCTGTCTCTGGTCCTTTTTTTTTTATTGTCTTCTTCCAAGAAAACCCCCTGTATGGTCCTAAAGAGTAACACATAAGTCAATCTGTGTGCTTGTTACATCTTTAAATTTTGTTTCTTTAAACTCAATTTCAGTTCTGTTCAAGTGCTATCTATTTCCTAGTCTGAGGCCAGTGGTTGTACCAAAACCACTGAGTCACAGTTAGAGATATTGCAGAGCAAAGCTGAGGTGCATGAAGAAGTTTGCATAGTGCCTGGGGAATAACATGCTTTCTGTAAGTGTCTTGTTTTTCTGGCTATCAGATAACTCTTAAATGGGATGCCATGGGAGAAGGTAAGCCTTGTAGGCAGATACCATCTTCTGTTTGCTTTTGATCACATTTCAATTTATTCAGCCTCTTTTCAAGTTCAGTTAATGTTTTAATATGTGTTTTCCTTATTATTTCAAGGAATACGGAACTAATCCTGATAGACTTGGGATGTATTTGGGTTACCTGTGCTTGCTGGGTGTGCTGTTGTGGCTGGTATTATGTACATCATGTCCTTTTTGTTTCAGGGAGTCCAGCAACAAAGAGAATAATTCTCACCCTGAGTGGAGCTTCACTACAGTTCGGAAGAAGCCGGACGCGAAGAAGCTCCAGAACGGGACGGTGCGTACGGACAGAGGAGTTCTTCTTTTAACTGCTGCTTCTGGAGCCACTTTAAGGAAGACAGTGATAAAACTTAGTAACTTCACTTTTCATGAGAACTGGCTGGTTTTTTTGCAGTTGTGGAGATAATGCATCTTAGAGATATTTCCTATGCCCTGTCAGCCTTAAATGCAAAATATACTGCAGATGTACTGTAGTATCCTTTCATAGAGATGGGAATTTTAAAGTCTCTTACTAGTGAGGGAAAACTGAACTGTTTTTCTGATGCTGAATGACATTGTTTGAGATGTCTCCTCAGGCATCTGTTTCAATATCCCATAACATTTGTTGATGTACTGTGTCTTTGTGGGTTTTGTAATGTATTTAAACACTTTGTTAAATTTAATTCACCTCCAAAAATCACATGTGCTAAGAGGCAGTGTGTATGTTGTATATATGCTGATATAAGTTGTAATATGCTGATGTAGTCTATATTTGTTAACTTCTAGGATCAGGATCTTGTTAAAACCCTGAGTTGTTTAACTATGATAATCACCCCTGTGTTTGCTGAGGTAAGTGTTGGCTTAAAAATCTTCTTTGAAAGTGTTAGCCAAGTGTCTAATAACTTTTCTGAGTTTTAAATTGTTTGGTTTGCTCCTCAGCTCAAGCAGCAGGACACAAATAATGCTAACAGAAAGAAAGCAATTGAGGAACTTGAGAAAAGCATCAATATGGCAGAAGCAACATGTCCAGGGATCACAGATAAGATGGTGAAGAAACTTATGGAGAAATTTCAGAAGTAAGTAGTTTAGTGATGAGAGGTATCTGCTATGTCCAGTGCTTTAGCTTTGTAGTTACATGTTGCAGTGTGATTCCAATAGCTACAGGTAACACTTCTGTTTGAGACCAAAACTAACACTAACAATTACTGTATCTGGTCCTGAAGTGCTACAGCTTTACTGTAGTTGCTCCATCTTGCTTCTTTAGTTTAGCCTGCACGTTTTTCTTAAGCATATTTACAGGCAAGAGGGGAGACAGAGAATCTTTTTCTTACCTCTTTTAGTGATGTTTTCTTAAAAATGTCACTTCTGGTGGGTTTTGTACTATAAACCATTGAGATGAAGGCATGTATTACTTTAGTGATGCAGAAACATTTATGTGCTGTTTGCCTAGCTGAAACAATATATTTAACAATTTTTTTAACTTGCATTTTTTATCTGTAGATTTTCTGTTAATGACTCATCCTAAGAAACTTCACACAATTGACTGCTGTTTCATATGGACCCAGTGAAACCCACCAAAACTACTTCAAGCTTGGCAGTGCTTAGCTCATGAGCTCCTTGTGCCTTTTGGATCTTTGCAACATATTGATGGTGATTGAGGATTTGAAGAACCTACTCAACTATTTTGTGGCAGTGCACATGGTTTTATATTTTCAGGAAATTATTTTGTAAAGAACAACTTTTAATATTGTAGTTTCACCTGTTTAATCTGATAAATGTTGAGGTGCAGTTTTCCTTTTAGAAATAACCATTACTTTAGTTAATAGAATGTGCAAGTACAGTATGTTTTGATGCTGTTTTGTTCCTGTACATGGAGTTGTACAGGTCTTTTATATTCATGAGTTAAACTTTTGTAAATCACTAACGAGCTTCAGAGAAAAATAGCTTTTTCACAAGCATATTCAAGACATGTAATGTAGTGGCAAGGGTATTGCTGTAGCACCTGCTTCAACCAGCATATAGTTATCGTGCCCTGAAAAACAAACCTGCAACAGTATCTATTTTAATTCTAAATTGGTACAGTATTTTAGGCAGCTCTATGATTAAATATATTTGAGAGCAATATGGCAATAGTTTGCAGGTGATATGTAGCAACAGGTCTATCCTGATGTACAGTCTGTGTATTACCTTTTAGAACAGGTTTTGAAGTAGTAACTCAATCTTATATCATCATGGTAGGAAAAATTTAGAGCAATACAGTTGAGGGGGTGGGGCTTTCGGCAATAATGGACAAAACCTGAAGTCCAGTTTAACTTAATTTAATTTTTTTTCCTCTGAGTCTACATGCCTGGGTGGAAGGGAGCCAGAGAAGCCGAGCGTCGCATGTTACATACCTCACCCGCAGGTAGCGATGGGCGTGACACCAGCGTTCTGTGTGGTGGTGTTGTTTCTCCTGTAAGATATTTATACACATTTTTGTTCTGAAATACATTCAATACAGTACATCAACATCATTTGTTTATAATTTTCTGAAAGTGTATTTTAAATATGTATTTACCAGTTAATATGCAAATAACTGAGTTATAGATATTCTTTCACAAAAAAGGTAGTACTGTGCAGTACAGAGTGATTTTTTTCATAAAAAGTAGGTAAGACTATAAAGTTGCTTTCAGTTATATATTTATGGTACTGCTAGATGGGTAATCTCTTCTGTTGTTTTGTTTTGATTTGGTTTTTTCCCTTTTTCAACCCAGTATGTATATTATGCTGAAGTTTTGAACTGGGATTGTTTTTCAGTACTTAGCTGTGGAACTGTTGGTGTAAATTTATTTTTGATAAAGGCTGGGTGTGTTTATTTTATGGTTCAGACCTGCACATTTTGTTTTTGCACAAAAGTCATTTTAAAGAATCTGAAATATATCTGCCAAATATTGAAAAAGTAATGGTGTGCAAGTAAATACTGCATTTTTCGTCAAATGTTGCCATTACATCGTTTTTATATAAAGGACACTTGTGAGAGATGGTGGTTAGATATGCCAAGGACAATTATTTTCAATGGTGCCTACACTGTAAAAAAAATTACTTTTAACTCCTTGTTTTAATTTTAAAAAAATGTTTCTGTTTAAAACTTTCATCTGCTATATAACTGAAATTCAATTAGAATTTATATCTGAGAAAAAAGTCTGGAAATAGTTTTTGAAAACAATAATGTTATGGATTAAATAAATATTTTTATAAATGTAAAAGCAGCAAAAGTTGTAAATACAGTTGATCTGAAGCTTTACAAAATAACTGCATCACAGAAACAAATTGTAGTGCTCCTCTAGCTTCTGTAGTTGTTAGTCTTGTAAATCTGTTTATAGATGAAGCTTATTTCAATGTTTTGGGGGGTTTAAAATGGTTTAAAAATAAATATTTAAGTTCTGTAAACTTTCATGAGCTTGTTCTGTTGTGTATCATTCTGTTCTGGATTTCAGCAGCTGTGCAGAGGTGTGGACATGTCAGGCACAGACGTGTGGGGAGAAAGGTGTTCCCTGCCTGGGTGCCCCACGCTGTCCTTGGCCAGGGGACTCCTCCCAGCTGCTGTGCCCCAGGAATGGATGGAGCAGTCCCAGGGGTCAGTTTGGTTCCTCTCCTAGGGAGGAGACTCTGGCTGGGATGTGTGAGCTCAGACCTGGCTGGCAGTGCAGCGGTGTCACAGCTCTGTCACGGCTCTGTCACAGCTCTGCCTGCCTTTGGCCTTAGCACAGGGCAGTGAAGGGACACAAAGGCCTGTGCCACAGCTCCCTCAACTTTCAACAGCCTCAACACAAATCTCACTTTAAGAAGATCCATTTAAATTTTTCAGAATTAAAGATGTGTTTTTACTTCCATGTCACTTCCCTTAAGGTGTTCTTTTCCTGTGGCAGTCTGAGGGAAACACTGATGGGAATTCCTCCTGAGTTTTGTAACTGATGGCTCTGCCCTGTTGATACAGGATCTTTAATCTGTGCAGCTTCACAGACAGTTCTGGGTAGGTGGGGTTAGCAAATGACATGGGAAATTGGAACCTGACATGTTTGAGATAAAACTGTAATAAGTTGCTGAACTATAGTGCCTCTTCTTTTCCTGTGGAATGGGTGGGATGTATACCTACCTCATGGGACAGCATGGGAAAAACTCCCTCACATGTGTACAAAACAGACTCATTCTCTTGTATTACAGTTCATTCAATAAGGGGTTTTTTTTGTACTGCATATGCCTGAAGTCTCTGTGCATAGTAAGACTTTAATTAGCTCCTAAGAAGGGACATCTGTATTGCTGATTCCAGAAATGAGCTGTCTTTTTCCCACATTTTAGTTATTGATGAACTGTGTAACTTAATCAGCAGTATTCTGTTGCTGGCAGGTAGCTCATGGAAAGATAGATCCAAATATTCATGCAGGAACCATCTCTTGCTCTTTTGGTGTGCCAAGCTTCCTGCTGTAGGTTGAGAAGAATTGTTGCTGAAGTAATCTTATCAAAGTAATCTGAATTGCAGAATGGAGAAATGTATTTGTTCTAGATGAGTCCTTTATCAATGTAACCATTCTTTAAGCCCTTGGTCTCTGACCCCTCTGTGAATTTCTGTGCACTGTAGTGTCATCACACCTGCTCTAGCCTTGCAATTTCGACAGCTGAATAGGAGAGTGTGTAGTTTTTAATGTGTTTGCACAAAGTTTAGTGATTGTTAGAAGTCTGATTTTTATTGCACTGTTTTATGACTTAACACTGGAATAAGATTCTTTTCCTCTTGGCAAAGTTTTACTGGTGTGTATGTCGGCTTATTTCACAGCTTTATCTATTTTGTCTAAACCTTTATCTGTTTTATATAAACCACTCACTTCTATCTGAATGCACTGAGTAGCTTGATGTTTTCCCACTGTGACACTGCAGTGCCTCCCCCCCTCAATAATCCTTTGTGTAAGGACTGTAACAGTTTACATTTTCCAGGTTCTGCTGTTTGTCTTTCACCACCAGCAAACCAAATCCTTCCACGTCCTCTCTCCATCCTTGTTTTCTTTCCTAGGGGAACAAAATCACTTAAATAGTTGTCCTTATCTCGAGGGTGAATAGGGCTGAGCAGGGAGTGAGGGGAAGGACTTAGGCAAGGATTGTTTCAATTGTTCCTTGACAAGTCAGCCACTGCTTACTGGGATTGTTCCTTCATTTTAATCAGTCAGTAAAGTGGTTTAAGCAATGAATTTAGCTCAGAGATGTTGATTTGTGTCACTTGCTGACGAGCTGCTTTGTTCCTCTGCTATTGTTGACCATGTGTAGGATGTGCTGAGGCACAGTGCCCACACTGCCCCAGTGCTCCCTAGTCCATGGAAAAATCCAAAAATAGTTCCCAAGCCCTTGTTTCTCCCTCTCAATGCTGTTTTCCCAGCACAGTCTTGAAGACCAGTCCTGGCAGTTCCTGAGGATTTGGGCAGGGTGTTTGTACAATGATCTCTCGTGGTGGGACATGCTCAAGGTGTGTCTCCACATGCTTTGAGGAGCTAACAGTGATTGTGGAGTATCCCAGGGCTGTGAGTGCAGCCTGTGTTTGAAATGCTGCTGCTTTTTTTAACCCTCTACCAAACTGTGCCCACAGACTGCCATTCTTAAATGTTGTGCTGAGTGGTGATTCTTGCTCTTTCCAAGGTGCAGAGCTTTGGGAATGGGGTAGAAACAACCCTCTAGGCAGAATTATCCCTTTTTTCAGTAGAACATGTGCCAGAGCAGCCTGAGGGATCACTGCAGCTCCCAACTTCAGCACAGGGTAACCAGGAGCAGAAGCAAACCTTACAATGTACTCACTTGTTGGGCTCATGCATTTCTTTGGGCAGCCAACCAAGAATGTGGCTGTTTGCAGCAACCTTCAGGGATCTCCACAAGTGTCCCCAGTTGCTGGGACAGCAAAGGCACAGAGGAGGCCAGGCAGCAGAGCAGGAGAAGGAAACCAACTCCTGGGAGCACTGAGGGAAATTCCTGAGGTGGGAGGCACAGGGCAAGGTGTGCTGGGGGGGTGCCTGCAGGACTTGGGGTGCAGATTCCACAGGGCAGAAGGAGGAACTCAAAACTCCAGTGTGAACAACTCTTTTTTATTGTCCACCTTCTAAAACAAAGGACAGCAACATGCAGAGTGAGCAGGACCCATAAGCCCAGTTCTTTCTACATTTTAATCTATTCTTTTTTGTCCCAATTTCCATGTTTCTGAAATCCTTCTAGCAGGCTGCAGTGGTTTCTCCACCATGGATTTTCTTGCCTGTCTCCCTGCTTAGAGTCATGTCCTACAAAGACTTACAGGGTTGTTCTTGAAGAAAATTACCAAGATCTCCCCCTAAATTCTTATGGAGGTGTCATCATTCTCAAGATTTCCAAGTAAATTTAATGTAGGTTTAGGGTAACAATTTTAAAATAAAAGTACTTCCAAGAAGCTGCTTGTTCCATTCCTACCTGCTCCTGATATCTTTTTTCCCATGCTGCTTATCTGAGGACAGAATTGGGGAAGCAAAGGACCCCAAAGAACCCCCTTACACATCTCTCTCCCTCAGATTTAAGCAGAGCACTGAGGTACTGGGGCTGCCAGGAGGTGATGGCTGATGTGTCTAAGCAAAGCACAGTTAGAGAGTGTGAACCCACTTCCCAGTACTCACCACAGGGTGCTTCTAAAGCTTGACAAGCACTCCTAAGATATTTCTGGATAAGGATAATCCTCTGAACTGGCCAGGGAGAAGACAGCCACACACAGAGCCTTGCCCTTGAGTGCCAAGTGCTCCCTGCAGCAGTGGAGGGAGGTGAGGCAGGCGGAGGACACAGGCTGTATGCTGGGGTTTTGTCCTGTCCGCATGGCATCAGCTCTAGGAGCAGCCCCCCATGAAGATCTTGCTCCTTCCCAAAAGGGCCTGAAACACCCTTCCCTCCACTGTGCCACCCTGCAGCTGGGAAAAGCAGCAGCTGAAATTATTCTGTGAGAACTCTCGTTCTTTTTCTTCCTCCCCCTCAATGAAGACTCCAGCAGCTGAGCTCCAAGCCTCTGCTTGGGCAGGACATAGAAGCTTAGCAGGGCTTTAGGAGATCTCTGGCTTCTGGCTGAAACAAGAATCCTCCCTCAAAGCGTGGTGGCAGAGGCAAAGCAGCTTCCAAGTGTGGTGCAGGGGTTGAATACTTCTGAGCACACCCTGATGTCCATTAACACATCCTCTATAGCTAAGAGCACTCACACAACGATCCCATCAATGTTTCATAAGCTGTAAGCAGACCTGCACACCAAGAGTGTCACCATTCTTCGACCCTGGGTCAGCGCCGGCCACCTCCGCTCCCTCTGGCCGGTGTCAGGCACCTAGGTGAAATACTTGGAGGCCCCTCTGGAAATCCTCTCCTCAGCAGCACTGGTGGCAAAGGACACCTCCTCATCCTCCTCATCCAGCTGGAGGCTGCCCGAGGAGAGCCGCACGCGGGCCATGGGCGAGCGCAGCCCGCGGCCGTAGCGGGAGCTGTGCTCAGCCCCCAGCAGCTCCGGGTCAGAGTCGCTGGACTCGGTGCTGCTGCCCAGGTACCGCTCGGGGCAGCGCCGCAGCCCCGGTGCCAGCCCTTGCTGGGCTGGGACGCGCCAAAAAACCCCCCCTCTGCGACTGCTGAGAGCAGGGCACGGCCCCAGGGGCCTGAACTCCGAGCCGTAGGGGAAGCGGATGGTTTTCATGTCCGACTGGCTCCAGGAGCGCTTGGGAGGCTGCTCCTGCAGGCCGTAAGCGAAGGAGCGAGCCAGTGACCTGCTGTCCCCGGCCATGCTGGTGCCCACGGCCGTGCCTGCAGCCGCACCATGGAGCTGCCCAGCCTGGGCCCCGCTCGGGCTCTGCCGGGGGGGGTTTGCTGCCGTGGGGCCGCTTGCACCAGCCAGTCCTGCTGTGCCCTCACCGGGGGCCGGTGCAGGGCATGGGGGCTGCAGTGCCCTGTCCAGACAGAAAAGCACAGGGGGCGCGGGGGCCACCAGGGGCAGGGGACAGGGCACATCCGTGTACACCAGCTGCCGGGCGCTCACCTCCCGCATGTTGCCCACAGAGGTGCTCTTGCTGTTCCCAGCAAACTGGTGGTGGGGCCGGAAGGATGTCAAGGGATTCCTGGCTCCGAAGAGGTCGATGGGCTCCCACGCCCGCTCCATCTCCAGCTCGGCGTAGAGCAGGGGGAAGGCAGAGGAGCTCTTGGAGTGGGGCAGGAAGGTGGGGGATGCTTCGGGCTTGGAGCGCTCCAGCTCAGCAGCAAAGGTCACCTCCATGGTGGAGCTGCGGCGCCGGCTGTCCAGGGTGGGCTCGGAGCCGTGCACGCCGTTGGCGTGGTAGGAGCCCCGGCTGCCGTAGGCCAGGCGCAGCTCCTCCACCTGGGCAGGGCACAGAGAGGGTGGGAGGGAGCACCCAGAGCTGAGGGTCTGGCCCCGCAATGCCAAGGCCCTGGCACACAGCTGTTGCTGATGCCATGGGGACTCACCTGCTTTGATACATCCGTCAGCAGGTCCGGGGAGGAGCGGCACTGCCTCTCATCGTAGCGGGACGTGTAGTGTTTCCTGCAGGACAAGAACAAGGGTAGGTGATGGCCAGGAGGGCTCTTCCCCTCTCCCCAGTCCCCTCAGGAACCTCTCCCCCTCCATGCCCCCAGTACCTCTCGAAGGGCAGGCTCTTCATCTTAGCCTTCCTGCCGTGCTCCAGCAGCTGCCGCTGAGTCCTGCCACTGCAGCATGGAGGGAGAAACGTGAGCAGCACCATCAGCCCCAGCCCTTGTGCCCCTTGTGAGGGGATGCAGCAGGACTGAGGCAAGGGGCTCTCCAGGAGAAGTAGCTGTTCTCACCCCCTCGGATTCAGACAGGGCTGACATAAAAGGGAGGCTCAGAGCCATCCCCAGGCCCTTCCCAGCCCCAGCAGCTTGGGTTTCCCCTGGGAATTTACCTGTAGCGGAAGCTGGAACCTTTGCTGCACAGAAGGGCTTTGGGCTTTGACTTGGGCTCCTCAGAGAGCCTGAAGAAGGCGTGGTACTCCACACATGTCTTCCAGAAGGCCTTGCAGGTGTCCCGGCTGGCCATGGTGAACTCCAGCGTGTCCTTGCACAGCACCTGTGTGCCAGAGATGGGGTCAGGAGCACAGCACAAGCTCTGCCATGTGCCCTCCTGATCCCCCAGGGGCCAAATGGGCTGCCAGTGGCTCCAGGCACTGCACTGTCACCTGGCTGGGGACACAGGAGAAGCCCTCAAGAAGGAGCATCATCATGAGCAACAGGAATGGATTTTGCTCAAAACTGGGGACTTTATGTGGCTGACCTTCCACCCACAGCTGTCTGCTCCTGAGCCCAGCAGTGCCTGTGGTGTGGTACTTACAGAGATGTTTGCATGGAGCTTGATGAGAAAATGCTTCCTCTTGAAACTCAGTTTGCGGATTTTGGACCAGTTGAAGGTGTTGATCTTTGTATTGCCCTGCAAGGACAAACACAGCAATTACAGCTGGATGGGGCAACCTGTAAATACAGCAATGCAGTGGGCCAAGGCCTGAGCTCACAGGACACTGCATCAGACTCCAATGCAGCTCTTGGAGCTGCTGAGATCTGGGGAAAGGATGCTGGGGTTTGGTGTTTGACTCTCCATCAGCTAGTTCTACAAGTAGAAATTGAGGTTCAGGGCTTAACTCTGCCTGCTGAAGCTCTTTGCAAAAGTCCAGGACTCCCAGACAAACCTCAGAGAAGTTAAGGCAAGGAGTCCTATCTGTGCCAGCTCAAATATCATTTGAATCAAGGCAGAATCAGTGCCCCAGATAAATAATATTCTCCCCTCTTTTGCTGGGAAGTGTAGCAGTGCTCAGCTCACCCCCAAACCTTAGACCTGGTTTAAGCCGGCTGCAAGCACACATTAATTACTCTGTTATCATTTTGCACAAGGTTTGATGCAGCCACATGGCAGAACCAGGAAAAATCACGTTACCCCACTCTGTGGCACCAGGACCCTCTCAGCTTTCTGCCAGAGCCCAGATTTTAATGGGCTCACAGATGCTCTAATCATGCGTGAGGCTCTGAATAAATAACCAGGTCTGGCAGCACTAATTACCAACAGCAGACCCACAGCTAGGTTTTATGTTTGGGTTTGTTGGTTTTTTTTTTTTTTGCTGTGACAAGATGTTCCCAGGTTGAAATCAGCTGCTGTGGGAGCGGAGAGGAAGTCTGTATTTACTGCCCAGCTTGGCTGTGATTACAGCCTTATGTAATTGTACAGACGTAGGGGGCTATTTTCACTGGAAGATTACACAGTGAGCACATGTGACAGAGCCGTGGAACCTGTGCTGCTCACACGGCCACCACGCTCGTGGGACAAGGGCCAGCAGGGCTGGGGCACCTTCAGTGGCAGGCAGGGCTGGTGGGGCTGAGGCCTACAGCATCCCCTTCACCCCATGGCCTGTGGAAGAGAGAGTTTGGGGTGCTCAAAGGGGAGAAGGGTCACCTCCAGGTGGAGAGGCCACCCCTGAGCCCTGGGCTCACCCTCAGCACCAGCACCCCCATGTGTGTCACAGCCAGGTTGATCTGATCTGTGTGCTCACCCTCAGCACCAGCACCCCATGTGTGTCACAGCCAGGCTGATCTGTGTCCCCTCACCCTCAGCACCAGCACCCCCATGTGTGTCACAGGTTGATCTGGGGCTCACCCTCAGCACCAGCACCCCCATGTGTGTCACGGCCAGGTTGATCTGTGTCCCCTCGCCGTCGCTGGCGGGGTGGGGGCGGATCCCGTACATCTCCAGCTTCCTGGCCACGTCCAGCAGCTGAGCGTCCGACTCGGCCGGCGTCTTCCCTCTGCAGACACAGCACACAGGAGGGACAGGAGTGAGAAGGGAGATGCTGAAATGGGATGAAAAAAGCCATTTTGTGGGTACACAGGCTGGCATCACACCCACCCCACTGCCAGCCCTGCCTGCTGATGACAGCACTGTGCCAGCAGAGGTCCATAGGGGGTTTGTGGTGTGGAGCAGCCCTTACCTGTGTCTCCGGTGGTAGTGCATGATCTTGTTGTCCAGGTACTCCTGGTTGGGCAGGTACCTGTGCGTGGCCAGGTGCTGCTGGTCTGTCTCCTCGTGGAAGTCGCCCAGCTCGGCTTTGGGGACAGGGAGAGCGTGGATTAGGCTGTGAGGGGTTGGTGCAGAGGGGAGCCCTGGCTGCATGGCCAAAGCCCATCCCCAGGGAAGGGGCCTGGCCCTGCAGCTGTGGCCCTGCAGGTCCCCTCTTGCCCTTACACTGCAGCAGGTGGGAGACGAGCAGCGCCGCACTCTTGTCGCTGCAGGGCAGCCGCCCCTGGGCCAGGTCCTTCTTGATCTGGAGGGTGAAGAGGTACCTGTGGAGGGGGACAGGAGCATCCCTGGGGGGAACTGGATGCTGGGCTGAGCCACGAGGGCTGTGCCTGTTCCCAAATCTCATGGGATGCACATCCTCAGGGTCACAGGATGAGCGTGCAGCCCCTGCAGCTGGGCACCAGTAGGACCAGCACGTCCCTGTCAGTGAAATGCTCATTAGTAGATTTCAAAATTAACATTCCTTTCCGTTTTGGAGGGCATTTGCCTCTCTTGGGGCTGACGTTCTGCATAAGCACTGTCTTGATTTTATTCTTAGTCCCTGTTTGCAATGCTTTCTCTAAAATTGTAGAAGCTAACAAAGTCATTTTTAAAAATAAAACTAAAGTTGTTCTCAGAACACTGCTTGAGGCAGGAGCTAGACTGAGCAGTCAGACTCTGTGCCCAACTGTTAAAGTGTTTGGCAGTAAACAAATTGCAGCCTCATAAGACAGTGGATTGTGTTTTAAAACAGAGGATCAAGAAAATATGTTCTCTGTTTTTATTCTGTAAAGAGTAATACTTAGGATATTTAGGATAACCACTGCACACAGACAGGCTGGGGTGGATGAAGATAAAGAATTAACACACTGCAAAAACACAGAACTGTGTGGTAAGAAATTAATAAAACCAGCACTGTACCTGGTCAGTTCTTCTCTCAGGTGGCCGGGGTCCACTGGGAAAAATTTCACCATAAATTTGAAAAGAACCTCCTTAGGATCTTAAAACACAACATCTTCATAAGTTTTCTTTTACATGTCTATTGAGAACATTTACAACTCTCTTCACACATGCTGCCTCCTTACAGGGTAAATTATCTGGACCCTTACAAATCAGGGACTACAGCCTGCCCCCCCAAAACCAGCCTGCCCAGGCCCCAGTATCACCAATGAATACAAACAGAGATTTGGATACCTAAAGAATACTAAAGAGAAAAATGTCCCAGCAATTCTTTAAATTGCAAAAATCCCTGTTGGAGTGGGTTTCCATGAAATGGTGCCAGGGAGCCTGGCCAGAGCCTGGGTGTAATTGCCATCACTGGGGCTATGTGTTAAACCCTGCCCTCCAAGACCTTGGGATGCAGCAGCTCCATAGGAGGCTGCCTGGGCAAAGGGTTTTTTGTGGGATGAGTGAGAACAAGCAGCCAAGCCCAAGGCAAAATGTGTGGAGCGAGGGAGGCAGTTATGTAAGCACAGACTGTCACAGAACACCCTGGGATGGCTCAGAGGGACAGGCCAGAAGGTGAAGGAAAGAGGTGCCTGCAACAATTCCATTTGTGGTGCACCAAGAAAGGGAAGGATCCTTATCAGGCTTTCCCCTTTCAGGGAAATCCATGCAAACCCTGCTCTGCAGCCTCCCCTTGGCAAAGCTGGGGTCATGGCCCCAGGCTCTCAGTCACCTCCCAGCCCTCGTGTACTTGGGGAAAGTGCTGTGGGGATGGAGAGAGGCCTGAAAGCAGCACTGAGCTAACCCTGCTCATGGCCATGGCACAGGAGGCTGGGCCTGAGTTCAGGTCAGGATCTCTGTGGGGCTGGGGAGGAGCTGCAGGGCAGAGGGGGCCCTGCCACATGCAGGTGCCTGGGCCACTCTGGGCTGCAGAGGGAAAAGGAGGACAGGCAGGAGCAGAGCTTGGCACGCTGCCAGCACGGCCACACAGGCACTCAGCCACCCTGCTCCTCTGCCAAGCTGTCAGGTTATTAACAGCTCCGGCCTAAAATGGTGCAGATAGCAGATTGCAAAGGCAGTGGCATTTCTGCGGGATTTTGTAGGGACTGAGGTGTCCTTGCAAACAATCCTGCCCAGCCTCACCCTCTAAAATGAGCCTGGATAAGTGCTGGAAGCCAGAGATCCTGTCCCTCAGAAACAACACTGCATGAATGTGTCTGTGCTAGATTCTTACATGTAATGATTTATAAGAATTCCATTCTTGAAATACTTACTCTTCACTTGCTTTGTTATGGGTTTTAGTGGTTCCAACCAGACCTGAAATAAGGCAAAGAAGAGCTGGGTAAATAAAAGGCACAAGAGAGGGGAATAAAAGCAGCAGCAGCAGCATGGTAGAGTGCAGCATGAAGATGCTGGCCAGCTTGGCTGTTGTGACAAGTGTCCTGCTGGCCGTGGACAGACCATGAGCTGTTGATATCACTGGGGCTTGTGGCTCCCCTCCTGACTCCCATTTTCAGGGTTTTCCTGCCATCATGGCAAAACTTTCTATTTCATTTTCCATTTGGAATTCCAGGGAGGTGCTGACAATCCCCAGCCATGCAGGCGCTGGCGGCTGCACTCACCTGGTTCCCAGCCTGGCTGTGAAACTCCAGCCCAAAGTACTCCTTCTCCACGAGGTTCAGGTGGCTGCAGGTGAGGTTGAAGAGCCCTTTCCCACAGGATTTTTGCTAGCAAACAAGCACAGCACAGAAGCAGCAGGTTAGGCAATGCTGGCAGCAGCAGTGATGGGATTTCAGAGAGCTGGGGAGAAGTTTCAGCTCCCTTCCTGCACCCCTTTCCTGACCATGCAGCAGCAGAATCTTACTCAATAAATGCTCTTGGCTTCAGCATGTACAACAGGACAACTGCATGCTGTGCTCCCTGCTTTTGGAAATCAGATTCCTTCCCATCACTTCTCTCCTTTATTAAGGAACTTAAACCAGAAAGGAGAGCAAGAGAAAACAAACCATGTTTTGACTCACTGTTCACAACTATCACAGTCTGGGCAGTTCTGTCCCTGGCAAAGCAGTGAGTGATCCCAGGGCAGGCACCTGGCTGAGCCAGGGCCAGCCATGGCCAACGTGCTTCATCCAGAGCCAACGGAAGCAGCCTCAAACCTGTGCAGGGAGCCTGGGTGTCCCAACAGCTGGGGCTGAGCTGCCATTATGGTTCATGGTAATTAACAGCAACAGGGCCAGAGATCCTGTGCCATGGGCTCTGAGTCATCCCTGGGCTTTGGCAATAGGAATTAAGTGGTGCTGCATGCTGATAAGGGAGGCCAGGCTGTAGTTATTCCCAGTAAACAGAAACACTTGGAGGGTGTTTTGTTGACTTGTTGCCATGCTGTAGGACCTGGCTGGAGAACAACCCAGGAGGCCCCTGACCCTGCAAATTGCTCCAGAAAGCACCAAAAATTAAAATGGCAGCAACCCACCCCAACAAAACCCTGACAGGCCTTCATCAGCTTGTGAAAAGCAGAGCAAAAAGAAGCAATGGTTATTGCAAAAGCAGGCTGGAGCAGAGGCCAGGTTAGACAGCTGCTAAATGATCACATGTGGGGTGATGGAGGGGAAGACAGGCTGCAGCTCCCTGTGGCAGTGGCTGTCCCCAGCAGGGATGGGAGGGACCTGGCTGCTGCTGGTGATGCACACTAATAACCACCTTTCAGGGCTTCTCCTGGGATGAAATTGCTGGCTGTGTGCTGAAAGGCTGCAGAAAAGTGATAGCATAATAACAGCATTCGCTCTGCAGCGCTCCCAGCTCTCCTCAAAATTACTGGATCACAAGGGTAATTAAAAAAATTATAAATGTTTTTTTTCCAAGCTAGAATTTTCTAGCATGAAAGGCCTTGGCCTTTGTCAGGCAGCCAGGAAAGACAAGCATTTCTGACTGGGTTATTACCTACCATATGTCTGCTGGGAGCAACCCACTGTGCTCCAAGGGCAGCAGTGCCCAGGGACAGGAGCAGCCCCAAACCCAGGAAAACCTGCTGGGAGACACAGCCCTGCTGCTGCCGCAGGGGCTCCTTAGGAGCACAGCCTTTCTCTTGCAGGTGTCCTGTCCTGGGTTTTGGGGTGCTGAGGCCAGTGCTTCCACAGCCCTGGGGTTCAGAGGTGCTCAGAGCATCAGCCCTGCCCTGCACCGAGTGAGGGGAGCGGGGTCTGTGCTGGGAGGCACAGTGCAAGGTACAACCATGGCATGTGGGGCTGCCTGTGCCATGTCCCGGCCCACAGGTGCCTCTGGGCATGAGGCAGGGCCAGGTGAGCACCCACAGGCAGAAACCCCAGAGCAGGAGGTGAAGAGGGGAGGCTGCACTTGCCCCTCGCTCCTCAGTGAAAGCAGCTGGGACTGTGAGCAGAGTCAGAAAGCCAGAGGCACTTCCAGGGGCAGACAGCAGCACGTGCAGCACACGGGGGACACACACCCCCCCATGTCCCCAGGGGGACTCTGGCAGCACCTGCAGCCCAAAGGAAAAGCCCATTTCTGCAGCATTCCCATAGGACAGGCTATTCTAGCTACAGACAGGTCCATGGGTTAGGGGTGAGCAAATCCCTTGTGGGATTTGGTGTGATTCTTTCCCACCACCTTGGGAGATGCCTGCCCTGTCAGCAGTGTCCTGCACCTACAGCCACCAGCCTCCCTGTGCCACCAGGCCACACACCTCCTGCAAGGAATTTCCAGCTTTACAGGGAACACATGACCACAGGAGACCCTGTCCCTCACCCAGCCTCAGCAGCGAGTTTCTCTGGGCTTGTTTGGTTTGCCCACAGCATCCCAGGCCCAGCCATGGGGTGTTCAGCAGGGAGGGCACAGTGGAGACATTCAGAGATGTACCAAGCCCCTCTCTGCCCTGCCCTGAGGGCTCAGACCTGTTACCCCAGGAACCAGAGCTCAGCTGAAGGAAACCCTGGGAACTCAGTGGTCCCAACTGATGCAGATGGAGGCAGAGGCCTCCCTGGGACAGCATCCAGCACCAGCAGAGGAACTTGTTCTCATGCAAGCAGGAAAGGAGACCCTGCTGCACATGCCAGCAGCTGTGACACCCATGTGAGGCAGGTAGAGATGTTTACACTGAGTGTGAGGTGCAGGGGCACTCAGCCCTCTGTGTTTTCTCTCTTTTGTCCTTTCCCTCCCATTATACCAAAGTACTCCTCATTCAAAAGAGCTTTCCAAAGTCAGGAGGGGTTTAGGAAGAGTTGCTTAAAATATCTGCTCAAAACTTAGCCCAAAGCACTCCTTTTATACTGGAGAAGTCACTAATTCAGCCACTCATTTATTGTACCCACACAGAGCAGCAAATGCATGAAATGCCTAAAAGGGGTTTCCAATACCATTCCATGCTAAAAAAGGAAATGACCAGGAGTTCCTCTAATGGAAGCTATTTGCTGCAATAACATGTCGTGCAGAGCTATAGTGCTGCCTTTTGAGCAAATAAGAAAACAGAGATAGAAAAAAATGCAGCAACATTGTAGCAGAACCATCTTTTGAATTGTGTCTCACCATGACTGATTTAATCAATGGGGGGAGGAGGGAAAGGCATTTTAAAATGACCAGTCTCATTTTTAAGCTGACTCCTGGACTAGGATAGATTAATTAAACTAAATCAAACAACTTCTATACTGTGTCAAGGCATGGAATTGCTTTATAATCCTCTTTTGTGCAAAATACTGTCACAAAGAAATGGAGCTGTGCATCTGAGAGAGAATTCGTAGACTGTGCTATAAACCACGGAAAGAACAGCAGAAGAAAAGCAACAGAACTTGAAAAAAACCCACTTTATATTAAACACTCTGCTCCCACAGGAGATGCAGGTAAGTACCAGAACAAATGCACTTGAATTAGCTAATTCAATTAGCTACTGTGATTATTAAACACTAACCAACAGTAAATGTGCAATCACACTTGTAAAAAGATGCTTCTAACACACAGACAAGACATAACTGCTTTCAATTATCTATACACATATGCATAAACTTAACACCATAGATATTAATATTTTAAACCTAGTTCAGAGCTAGCATTTTTTAAAATGTGACATTAATCACAATGTGTTGTGGGACACTGCCATGCAGAAAATAAGAGTGAGTTTTTTTCCTCAGCTATTCTCAAAACCACAGTTTTCTTTTTCAGCTGAATGCCCAGGAGAAGATGTGTGCAGATGTTTCTCAACAGGGATAACTTGGATAAATATGCTATTTTTATTCTGTTCCCAGACTTTTCTTCCTTGCTGAATGTTTACACTGGCAGCAAGACAAATGAGACAACTCAACACTTGTCAAGACCATCACTTAATATTAACTGATTTACTAAAGATCACATCAGGTAAGTAAAAGCCATTCCTCCTTCTTCATAAATAATGCCAATAACAGGGGAGCACAGGAGTATATTGATACCAAAAACCACTTACCAATTAGTTCTAGAAAGCTTCATTTTGAATTTGAGATTGGTTTTCTTGTTTGTTTGCTGGGTTTTTTTAAAGCTGAAAACCAGAAGCTATCAGAAACCATTCAATCCTTCAGAACAGCAATGATTTAATAATTAACACCAAAAAAAAATCAGAAAGAATAGGATACCCACTTACATCAACTACAAAGATCTTCTGGGAATCATCCAGGAACTGGACTTTGAGGTGCAGCATCCTCGGGCAGGCAGCTGGGTGTGCAGCAGGCACGCAGTGCTAGCAGTGTGAGCTGGGAGCTGGGAAGGGAGCCCTGACTCCTCTTGCACACATAATTCCCTCTCAGCTGGATGGAGAAGGCTGCACTCACAGATGTGGAGCAGAGGCTGGAGCATATGAGCTGATTGACTAAAAACTAATTAAAAAAAGAAACCAACAAACCAATACCTCCCTTGGTTCAAATGTCACCTCTGCAATAAAAGATGTTTTCTGCCTGTGAATTATGGGTGTATAAACAGGGGGGGAATTGGCAGTAATGGGGCTGAGATAAATGCTCAGCTCTTGGGGCTGGTGGTGAGCAATGAGAGGGCAAAGCAAGCCCATGCGGGGTGCCATGGGTCAGGGCAGAAGAGCTGAGCATCCCCCCTGCCAAAGTCACCCAGCAGTGTCACCCTTGCCCTGCTCTGGTCAAGGTGCACTGGCAGAGCAGCTGGCTGGCAGCTGTGCTGGCTCCATGGGCTGGGCAGATCGTGTCCTGTCCACTGGGTGATGTGTGGATGGGCTGAGGTACTTCACCAGAGACTGGAAAATGTTTCCAGCTGGACTCAAAACCAGTTGTGAGTCCCTCCTGGAGAGGCAGAGGAGAACCTGCTCCTAATTCCCAGCTCACATCCTGGTTGAACAGCTTAGTGAAGTCTCACAAGCCTTTGAGACAGCCTTGTTCCCAGTTCAAACCTGATCAGCCCATGTCCCCAGTTATCAGCTGCTCCTGGGAGTGCCAGAGCCCAGCTCAGCCCAGGCTGCTCCGTGCTGGGTGCTGGGGATGCCTGTGCTGCTCCTCTCCCCCAGGTGGGCAGGGCCATGAGGAACTCTCTGACCCCTCTGGCTCCTCTCATCCATCAGAGACAACCCCACTGAGCTTTTGGGGGAATGCACCTTTGGGCAGGAGCCCTCCCTTTCAGAAATAAATGCACTGAGCAGTGCCAAAGGCAGGCACTGGGCTGGCATAGGGATCATTATTGTTGCTGGAAAAGGTCACAACCACACACGATTCTGTGGCACCCAGAGTGATAGAAACATGGCTCAGCAAACAAAAAAACATATTCAGTGCTGCAGAGATTTTGCTTGGTGCTCCCTTACTGAAACTCACACTGTAAGTCACTCCAGACCATTTGCTATGGCCTCTCTTACACTTCCCAAACATTCCTGAGGATATCAAGTCAGAGGCCATCAGGGCAGCATAATACCTTGTCATCTCTGGTGCAGAGAGAAAGACCATAGAGATTTTTATCCACAGAAAAATGTGTAAATCTTCTGCTAACCAAGACAAAAAGGAGCCCAAAAATCAAAGCCAACCTGCTTTTCCCCATGAAGCTGCTCCACAGATCAGCTGAGCCCATTGTGCTTCAGCAGGGGATGGCTGTGCCCCTGTGCCAGCCCCACGTGAAGGACAAACCCAGCTCTGCTCGTGGCCCTGGGCTCTGAGCTCTTTGTGTCACAGGAGAAGGGCAGCACCACGTACAAACCAGCCAGGGGGGCTCAGTGCACCCTCCCTCTGAGGCTTAAAATGTTTGTGCTGCCAAATATTGACAGCACAAGGAGAGGAGCAGCTCTCCTGTCACAGCTCTGCACTGGGAGCACAGTGGGCTGGCAGGAGGGGTGTATGGGGTGCAATAGAGGAGCCCCAAAGCCCAGAAGAAGCCAAGATTCCCTGCTACAGGCTTTCCTGGCATGCCAGGGCAGTGACCCCGGACTCCACAGATGCTGTTGGAAGCTGGGCACCGGCCAGTCAGGCTGTGGGCAGAAGAAAAGGGTTTATTTCACTACCTTGCTATGAAGGAATAAGGCTGTGTTGGGTCAGACAGGACCTCCGGCCACCCTATAAATCCATCCATGGACAGAGCATGGAGCCAGCAAACAGGATCAAACTACATGAACAAGAGCTTTTTGGGATGGGATATGAAAGGACAGCAAGAAGAGATGTGAGACAAGCAAGGATTGCTTGGGGCTTGGAGATTGTTGATGTCTGAGCAGATGAGAAACCTGTTTTATCCTCACCTGTCTCCTTCTTCTGGAGGTGACACATTCTGGAGGTGACTTGGGGGCCAGCTGGAGCAGCACACAAGGGGAGCACCAGGAGGAATTCTGGCTCCTGGCCTGAGCCAATGCCACAGTCCAGCCTGGTATGTATGTCCTCCTTATCTGCAGGGGCAGGGAAAATGTGAAAATGGTGCAGGAAAGCACAGAACCCATGAGGGGCAAGCACAGCCACGGTGGCAGGTGGGGAGGGGACCCCAAGCAGCACCAGAGCACAGAGGGCCCTGAGCAGCAGCATGGTGCAGTGAGTTCTGCTTCAGGGCTCCTTGCTCAACCAGCTCAGCCCTTGATTTTAAATACTCTGGAGCCTGCTAGCACCATCCTCTGTTGCACCAGCTCTCCCAGGAAGGATTTTCTTCCACCGAGTGCATCTGACCCCATATTAGTCTGCATGCATTGGCTCAGGGTCCTCTTCAGCCTCTCAAATACCCTGCAGCTTGCTGGGATGCACTGAGCAGAGCAAGAACCAAGAAGTTTCCTTCCTCCCAAACCCTGCTGCTGCTTTTCCCAAGGAGAAATGTTTGGGTGTTTCTCCTTTGTTCCCTGTTGGTGCTGGAGCGAGGGCAGAGAGCTGAGCACTGAGCTACACCCTGCAGAGCCTCCTGAAGGGTGAGCATGGTCACTGGGCACTGAGCCAGCCAGGGTAGAGCTGCTGTCCTGGTCTGGGGCTGGGGATGGGCAAGGAAATGCCCCAAACCCCCCCACTGCCTCCTGAGAGAGCAGCAGGCTGTGAGAGAACAAACTCTGGCAGAGAAGGGACATGACATGCTGCCCCTGCATCACCGTGCATTGCTGTCCCTTAGACTTTGTCATGTTTATCTTCAAATATGGTTTAGAGGAAGGAAATTGAGATGTACAGATAAAGTCATTGAATAGAGACATGCCAGGAGATGTCAAACAGCACAGTCCAAGAGGCAAGAACCCACACCCAGCTTGTTGCTGAGCAGACAGAAATGCACACTTGAAATGCCAGGCAGGACTCACACAGGTGGACTTTGGTCAGCTGTGATCTTTCATACACTCACATTTCACCTCCCCTTCCTCAGCTGGAGCTGCAAGGAGAACATCCACATTCTCCCCTCACCCAGGCAGGACTCCCCCAGCTGCAGGGCCAGGGAGCAGCCCAGCCCTTGGCTCTGGCACAGCCAAAATCCCTCTGAACAGCTCCAGGCCCACAACAGGCAATCCCAGCTGGGTAATGAACCCAAGGCATGGCACCAGCACTGTCAACAGGGACAATTCTATCCAGAATGGGGTACCCACCTCATTCCTGCTGCCCTTCCAGGAGCAATGGCTTCATTCTCAGCTGGGCTCCCAGCTTACACACAGTTGCTTTAAACTTTTTATAAAATATACCTCCTAAAAAGTATTTTTAAAAAAACCACAAGGCCTGAAAAAATTGAGTTTGTTTAGCTTAAAAAGAGAAGAGAAGAAAGGAACAACAATCACCTGATTGATGCAGATCCACTCCAGAATGGATCAGCTGTGTTCCCAAGATAAAGAGAAAATTAAGAGTTTGCTAGAAACTGCAGGGAAGATCTGAGTTAGGTCCTAGGAAAGACCCCTAAATTGTGAGGCAGAAAAAACACTGGAGCAGGCTGGAAAAACCAGAGTTGATTTAGACACACCTGTAGGGAACAGTCCAGGTACATGGTTCTTCCTTTAAACCTATGACAGTGATCACTGTTTTACATTTTCTCCACATTGTATCTTAAACATATCTCAGCAGTTAGACCTGACTTGCCATGTCCTGCCCTTCTAAAAACTTCTGCCTCAAAACTGTTGTTTGTTAAATTCAATAAATATAATGATACATTTACATTTTCATCAAATTTTGCTTACCAACCATCAGCTGGTAATAATCTGACATCAAGTGTGCTAAAACTCATTACTCATGAGTAATCGCTGGGAAAATGGAAATAATTGCATTTTTTATTTTGTGTTTAGGTGGGGTTCACCCATAACCTCCCAACTGCAGGATAAGACTTCTCTGAGCAGCATTTTGATATCAGAAGGTGACATTATGCAGCAGCATTTTGCACCAGTCTCACTCAGGGCAAAATTAGTGCATAATCTCACGCTCAAGGAATCATAGAGTTAAAGCAAATCTTATTCTTATGATTATATTTTTATTTCAGCTTCAGCAGCTAAGGTAAGTGGCTCTTTTCACCCACCTGCAATAACAGTGTAGGAAATCCCAAATTATGCAATAAAAACTCCAAGCACAACTGCAACTCCAGACACCTGAGACAAATTAACCCCAGGTGCAAAACATTCTTTGGAGTCCCGAAGCCCTGAAACCTGAATTTATTTCCATTTCTGTTCTGTTTTCAGGCTGTGTTTGGCCGCCAGGGCCGGAGCACCGCCCTGCTCTGAGCTGGACCATCCAAGAGGAACCACTCGCTGCCTCCACGCTCCCTCTCGTGGTGTTGGTGGTGCCCCACAACAGACACAGAGAGAACTCGGTGTGCAGGGATGAGCAGGTCACTCCTGCAATCACACTTTCCAGCGTGCACCCATGGCCATTGCTGACCTTTCCTCCTTTTTCAGATTTTTATGTTATGTAAAAACTATTACCAGGACTGCAGAAGACAGCTTGCTGTAAGCAAATACAAATGACAGCACAAGCTGTGCAGGAAACTAAATACTGCCCTGACTCTGGTGATACCCAGAGCACTTTATCTCATTTTTGATATGCCAGTTGCACTGTGTTGTTGGCACAGCTATATAAAAAGCACTCTGTGATGTTTAATTCAAACAGGTCACTTCAAAGACATGAGAAAGCAATTTATGCAGCAAGAGAAAGCCTCTTAAATGTATTGACTCAAAGGGGCACTGATGCCTCCAAGGACCTGGGCATAGCAGAGCATTCAGTGATTTCCAGCAGGGGAGAGGCTCCTCCCCACACCTGTGAGCAGTGCACA